CAAAGGGATGGGAAACATGTGGTGGTCTATAGCTACAGACAGGCACTAACTGAAAAAAAAGACCCAGGCTTCTAATTAATTCAGCATGGTTTCCTTAAATGCAGTCAAAAGATTCTTCCAAACACCCACTAAATGTGCTAAGTGGCAGGTAGTATGTATTATTTTTAACACTAACATAAGAAGGTTGAATATCATTCATCATAAAAGAGGATTTCAAAGAGAAACCAGGGAAAAGAGCTGAGTGCTTTTAAAGTAATTTTCAACAGAACAACCATTTGAGACATAATTCTTTCTTTCCATTACAGACCACTCCAGAGGAAACAGAATGTGAAACACATCACTGAAGATACTTAGTCACTTAGTCCCTTCTAGATGTCAATGGTGATAAGCCACAACAAATGTATAGGAATCAGGGTCCATAGTTTAACCAGCAAAAGAGTCAATATGAGGAACAGATTACACTTCTAAATATACTGGCTAAGATGTTCTGGTACCATAAGTGTCTTGCTAATCTTATCCAAGTCAAAGTAAATATGCAAAATTCCTCACAATATTACTCATAGTTACAAGCCACACGTGGATTAGACAGAAAATATTTGTTGTTGGTTCACAGGGAGAAACAGTTTAACTATGATGGCATGTAAATATTGGGAAGCAAGAAAAATAGTGACAAAAAATGTATCGCTTTTAAAATCATTTAATGGAATCTTCTACAGAAACAGGATTATAGTCCTAATTCATTCGTAGTACTATTCACAAGGGAACACCATGGTAGCCTCGTTTCTCAAACTAATAATATTATATTTCCCTGGTGATAAAAAAATCACCTCCAAGTTAGAGTACAACACAGTCTGAAAAATGGAAAAAAGGGTAGAACTTGAACTGCATTCAACGTCTCTTATTGTGTCAAAATAAAAAAGTGTTAAAATTGCTCTTTAGATTGATGCACTAGGATTGGCAATACACTTTTCTTATTTATTTATTTATTTTTGAGTTGGAGTCTCACTCTGTCACCCAGACTGGAGTGCAGTGGCTGCTCCCAGCCGCCACAGCCTCGACCCGCTGGGCTCCAGCGAACCTTTCGCCTCAGCCTTCCAAGTAGCTGGAACTACCACACCCGCTAATTTTTGACTTATTGTAGAGATGAGGTCTTGCCAAGTTGCCCAGGCGGGTCTCGAACCCGTGGGCTCAGGCAATACACTCACCTCAGCCTGCCAAAGTGCTGGGATTACAGGCTGAGCCACCAAGCCTGGCTGGCAATATACTTTTCTGAAGATAGATGAATGGCATTGCTTCCACTCAGCCTTTTGAGACTATGTGGGTGTAATTATGTGAAAGAGAGTTATTATGTTTCTTTTTTCCTCAAATATCCTCAATATTTATACAGACCACTTCTAAATTAACTTAATCAATTGAGATAACAAACTTCTTGACGCCACAAAAACTATAGCATTGCAAAAACCAACCAAATATTGCTACATAGAGACACGCTAAAGTTTTCCAAGTTTATATTTTTAAAAAACGATAGAATTAGACTAAACAAGAAATAAAAAGGATGCACATTCTGCCAGTGATCTATGCCTCTAGTCACTGCTGTGTCCTTTACACTAAGCATGGTGCTTGACACAAAGTAGATTCTCAATAAATATTTAGTGAATAAATGAGGTAATAAATTTCTCTGTATAAAGTCACTCATTTGAAATCGTAAATTGCACACTTGACCTTCAGAAATAGAGGTTTCATCCTTGTTGAGGCCATAAAAGAGGCAAGATAAGACCTTATTTTGACTTGTTCAACTTCCTATAGCATACAAAATGTCTAAAAGCCTTTTTTTCTTTTTCTTTTTTGTTGTACAGTTAATAGAACTGTTTGCTAAATACACATTAATTCTAACCATACTGCCATTGATCTAAATACACATATTTTTAAAATCTCTTTCTCTGTCTTGCTCTCTCTCATCTTTTTTTTTTTTTTTTGAGTCAAAGTGTCACTTTGTTGCCCAGGCTGGAGTGCAGTAGCACGTTCACAGCCACCGCAAGCCTCAACCTGCTAGGCTCAGGCGATCCTTCTGCCTCAGCCTTTCAAGTAGCTAGAACTACAGGCACGCGCCAACACGCCTGGCTAAGTTTTTTGATTTATTGTAGAGATGAGGCCTGGTAAGTTGCCCAAGCTGGTCTTGAACCTGTGGTCTCAGGCAATCCTCTCACCTCAGCCTCCCAAGTGCTGGGATTATAGGTGTGAGCCACTGCGCCTCTCTCTCATTTTAATGTAGGCAATTCTAAAACTGCTCATCCAATCTTGCCCTCTGACTTATTTCTTATTTCACATTCTCACAGCTTATAGGGGGCCATGCTACTACATTTTAAATATAAACGTTGCCAAACTAAAACATATTAAGGAAATTTTGTGGATATTTATGGCTACCCATTACAGGTCACTTGCAATTTTAGTCAGTCTCAATTCTCAAATATGTTAAATGTTTTCTTATGACAGTCACCCAATTTCCCTTTCTATTGTTTTATTGTCTTAGTCTATTTACCCATCAATTTATTCTGATGAAATAAATTGGGTACTTCAAAGAGCCCTTATGTAAAATACTGGTGGGTTACATTTATAAAGATTACGTGAACTTTTATATGTTTTATGAAAAAGAAATCTTATATCTGAAAAAGAAACAAACTTGATGTCATGGGTTCATAAGGTTCAATTGTAGGTTTAATTTCTTTATGCTAAGACAAGACATCTGAACTCACATTCTTTATCAATAAAAAGTCTCACTATACATTTAAAACATGCAATGAATGCTAATAAAAACATCTGTGTGTATACCACAGCCCACCAAAGTAATTAGAGATCTAAGGAATATTCTTCAATTATTTTCAGCTGCAACCAATAAAATCTTTTAGACTTTAAATATGGATCAGTCTCACATTTCAGAAAAGTTTGCAGCAAACTGTTCAGCTGTATTTTGCCAATGGTATCTGTGAAAGTCAACATTATTGATCTTTATCAAATTTTAAGAGAAAATCAGAATATTTTAAAATTACATAATTCGAAGTAAAATATGAACATTAATAGTATATAAAATGCACATTTTATTCACGCGATCCTATTTAAATAACTATCTGTTTTTTTCAATAATGTGCACTTTAGTGGAATATGCATTTAGTAGCATCTGTTGCTTTCAAAACATTCCTCAAGTTTTCAACTGTAACACTGCAAACCTAATTTGAAGAAAGATGAATAAAGAATAAAAAGCAATGATGCAATAATCATAAAGTCTAATGATTTAAAACTTTTTTCTGTACACCGAAGTCTCAGAAATGAAAAGTTGAGTCAAAGTTTATCCGTATTTTGAATGGAAATAGAAAGTGTAAAACTGCTTTCTAAAATGCTGTAGTAATTTACATTTCTGGAAGTGATATAGGAGAGGGCCTACCTTCTCACAAGCTTGATGAGACTGGATAGTGACATTTTAAAATAATTTTTTACTAATCTCGTGTACAAAAATCACATTATCTTGTTTTTGTCTTAATTTTAATTTTCCTAAATATGTTGACATGCCCATATGTACAGTGACTTATTCTTCTACTTTACCAATTTTTTTTTTTTGAATTGTTGTCTTATTCTTTGCCGCCCAGACTGGAATGCAGTGGCATGCTCATGGCCACTGCAGCCTTGACCTGCTGGGTTCAGGCGATCCTTCCACCTCAGCCTTCCAAGTAGCTGGAACCACAGGCGTGCAACACCACACCCGGCTGATTTTTTGATTTATTGTAGAGACGAGGTCTCGCCAAGTTGTCCAGGCTGGGCTCAAACCCTGGGCTCAGGCAGTCCTCTCGCCTCGGCCTCCCAAAGTGCTGGGATTCCAGGCGTGAGCCACTCCACTTGACTGAGAAAGGAATTTAGAAGTATCTGTGTAGAGGTGGCCAGGGAGCTGTGAGCGTGGGAGCCACTGCCCAGAGAGGTGGAAGGAGAGATCAGGGTCAGTCAAGGGGACCCCGGACAGGGGAAGACAGAGGAGGAGCAGACAAAAGTGGAAGAAAAACCCAGAGCCCAGTGTCTCTGAGCAACTGGGACCAGCTACCCAGAGGAAAAGGCAGTCTGCAGGGTGTGTGCTTCTGAGAGAGCCGAGGAGGTGCCAACGGTGCATTCAGGGACAGGGAACACTGCTGACTTGGGGGCTGTCGGGGTGGAGTGACGGGGTGGAGGTTGAGGGGAGAGCAGGGGAAAGGGAGAGGGTGACAGCAGCACAGACCTCCCTGTGGGTTCAGCCATGATAGCCGAGGATGTCCTCAGGGCTCCCTCTCACTGCATTCAGGGCCCTGCCCAAACGTCCTCACCACCCAAGGCCATCCCTGGCCACTGCTCAGACGCACCCCCTCCCGTGCTGCGAGCACCTTCCATGCCCTTTCTGTATGCACCTGTCTGGTCGTCCCCGCAAACGGAAGACAGTCCTGAGACAGGACTCAGTTCCCAACTCCCAGCCCCATGGTTGGCACACAGCAGCTGCCACAGCAACTGGCCAAGTGAATGAATGAACGAATTCAGGTGGGGAGCTGGCATTCCTCAGAAAAGAGGAGGGGGCCGGCTCCACAGGGCCAGGGGGATGCGGGAGACGGAGGCAGTCCCTGCCAGGTGACAAATCCGTGCAAATGGGAGTGAGTCCTTGGCTCAGAGTGAGGGGTGGGGAGAAGGACTGGATTGGGACTGGGAAAGGGTTGGAGATTCGAGGAAAGAAGAAACAGTAACTGAAAACTCTAAGAGGTTATCGTGAGTTGACACATACTTGGCAACCCTTGGAGGTAGGTAAGGTTAATAGCTCCATCTTTCACGTGGGGAAACTGAGTCTTTGGGGAGGCTGAGGAATCGGCCAAGGTCACACTGCTGGGAGGGGCTGAGTCTGGCTAAGGGTCAGAGCCATCCCCTCCTGTGTCCTGTGCACGTGACTGCCCACCCGGCGCCAGGATATCCACTGGACATGCGCTCCCAGCACTCACCTTGTCTCTGCGTTCCATCTCCAGGGAGATCTCCGAGGGGGACGTCTTCTCGCTGTGCTCCCCATAGATCAGTGACGTCAGGCTGCATGGAGGGAGGGCAGCAGGGAGGCGGGAAGGGAGAGAAGAGGCTTCAGACACCACTGGCTCCTGCTCCACTCCCTGGACAGGGCTGCCATGGGCACACAGCTCCAGGCACAGACGGCTATCACCCAGTGGCCGGGCGCAAAGCGCGCCTTGGGAGTTCGGCCTAGGGGTCCAGAAAGTCTGGGACCAGAGAAAAGTACCCAAGAAGGCTGCCCTCCAAGTCCCTGCCTGCAGGGAGGGCAGGGAGGGGCAGAGGAGGGTGTGAGGTGCCACCTGCTGACGAGAGGACGCAGCAGCTAGGGCACCAGGCAGGGCTGCATGCTGGACATGGCAGCAGGTTCTCCCCAGGACAGTAGGCAGCAGGACTGCCCTGCCCCTCACCTGTCGTTGTGTATCAGTAGGGCCAGGCGCCCGTAGTCCCAAGCCGCTTTCCGGAGGAAGGAGTAAACCACCAGGATGAGCTGTCGGCCAGGGAAAACAACACTGGCAGGAGGGCCATGGACACTTTTTCCTTGCCTGCATTCCCGTGGGGGAGGCCTTGTTCCCGAGGTCCCCGGGGAGCACCCCCACTAGCAGGGAGCTCTGTCAGGGTAGTGGCCCTCCCTTTCTGCTCGGGGTTCCAGGCACAGAGCAGAGGCTCGGGGTTTGTCAAATGGAGGAGTGGGTGACATGTTTAGAACTCTAGGACAAGAAGGCCCCTGCAGACATCAGCAAGGGGACAGAGAAGGGCAGCCAATGGTCCCAGCCTGGTGGACCTTTGGACAACGATGGACAGAAGAGAATCGTGGAATTCTGCCTGTCCCTCCGGGTCCATCCCCCACCCCCCGCCACCCACCCAGGCCACCCGGGCAGCCCTGACATCCAGGCAGTCCCCATCACGGCGGCTGTGTCCAGACACTCCCACTGTCACCTGGGAGAGTTCAACCACCCACTCTGGCTGAGGCCTGACTGCCCGCCCCCCGCATGCCCAGGACTCACCACCCACAGCGTGAGGTTGAGCAGCAGCACGGTGGGGACACCCCCAAAGGGCTGCCCCTGCAGGACGGTGCTCCGGGACTGGAAGCACTCACTCGCCGTCATGTTCTTGGACTTCCCCACCACGCTCAGGTCGTCTGGAGAGACAGACATCCTGGAAGGCTCCCTGAAGAACAGAGGGGTGTCCAGGTGAGATGTGAAGACTTGCCCTCTGCAACACAGAAGCCCACTGGGGAGCCGGGGCAGGCCTCGAGGGCACTGAGCAAGCTGGGCCGAGGTGTGTCAGACCCAGGGCCCAATGCCAGGCTTGTGACTTCGGGGTCAAGGCAGGAGGGCGGGTCTATGACATGGCACACAGCCCTGTTTTGTGAGAGAACAGCTGCCTCTAACCCAGGGCCATGATGACAGCATAGCTCCAACCCCCGGAGGGTTCTTCTTTTTTGCCACTTGGCCCCTGAAAAAGGAACTCTAATGTGCATATCCAAGTGGGTCTTCCTCATTCTTCCTGGGAAGCTTTTCTTCTAAATAAATGAACAGATCTCACAGAAATGGGTCAGCCCCAGAGCAGAAATGCTAAGGTTGGAAGCCAAAGCCGCAGCATCCCCGGGACGTCCATGTGGATGGCAGACAGAAGTCTTCAAATCAGACACTAGGACTCTGTCAAGGTAGGGGCCATCCCTTTCAACTCAGGGTTCAGGGCACAGAGGGTAGGCTCGGATGAAGGAACTGGTGTCATGTTTAGAACTATGGGCCAAGAATGTCCCTGAACACATCAGCCAGGGCACAGAGAAGGGAGGCCAGGGGTGCCGGCCAGGTGGACCTTTGGACAACAATGTATCAAAGTGAATTCTGGAATTCAGCCTGTTCCTCCAGGCCCTTCCCCCAGGCCTGCCCACCCAACCTCTCTGGGCAGGCCTCATAGTCCGAATTTTCTGATCCAGTTCCAGGTGTAGGTGATGGCAGCTCTGGGGAAGCAGAGTGCCTGGCTCATGGTGGTGACTCGGGAAAGGTCCTGTTGTACCTGGTGTCTGGACCAGGGAGCCCAGCACCTGCCCAGGGATCTGCACCCCCTTGGGGAGTTGAGCATTTTGAAAGGACGTGTGTGCAGCACTGTGGTCCCTGGCAGCACGTTCCACAGGCATGGGTGAGAGTGGGAGACAGGGAGCCTGGAGGCGTTAGTAGCTGCTTGAGCTTATCTGTAAGGCTATTCTGATCCCAAAGATGATTCATGTGGCTCCAGACCTCACCTCACCCCAGAAATTCTGCACTCCCATTCAAGAAAAGTGGACTCCATTCATTCACCCATGCATTCAAATAGTTGGTGAGCAACTGCTTTGTGCCAGATCTGGTGATACACCAGTGAGCAAGATAAAAATCCCTCCCTCATGGGATTTTAGTGGGGAGAGCGATAGAGGGATGAGGGTGAGGTTAGAATTATAAAGAGGGAGGCTGGGCGCAGTGGCTCACACCTGCAATCCCAGCCCTTTGGGAGGCTGAGGCAGGAGGATTGCTTAAGGCCTGGAATTTGAGACCAGCCTGGGCAACACAGCAAGACTCATCTCTAAAAAAAAAAAATTTTTTTTAACTGGTGGTCTCATCTGTAGTCCCTGCTACTTGGGAGGCTGAGACAGGAGGACACTTGAGCTCGGGAATTTGAGACTGCAGTGAACTGTGACCACACTACTGCACTCCATCCTGGGGGAAGATAGAGCAAGACTCTGTCTCTTAAAAAAAAAAAAGGACCAGCCGGGCTCGTTGGCTCAGCCTGTAACCCCGCGCCTTGGGAGGCTGAGGTGAGTGGATTGCCTGCGCCCGCGGGTTCGAGACCCGCCTGGGCAGCGAGACCTCATCTCTACAATAAATCAAAAAATCAGCCGGGCGTGGTAGCACACGCCTGTAATTCCGGCTACTCGGAAGGCTGAGGCGGAAAGATTGCCAGAGCCCAGCAGGTCGAGGCTGTGGTGGCCAGGAGCGGCCACTGCACTCCAGTCTGGGCGACAGACTGAGACCCCAACTCAAAAAAAAATAAAAGGACTGTATATAGGGTGATGATCTCGAAAAAAAGACTTGAGAGGGAGCAAACCAGAGCTATGGGGGGGGGGGTTGCTTTACCCAGAGGAGAAAGCCTGGGGGTCTGCTTGCCTACAGAACAAACAGGACAGGGTGGAGTAAAAAGTCTGGTGGTGAGTCAAGGGGTGACTTGAGGTGACTTGCTTTAGTGGGACCACTTCCAACTGGTGTGGAGATCAGAGGCGCTGGAGAGGAGCAAGTGAGCCAAGAGTAGAGGGCAGGAGCCAGAGTTGCGGCAGGAGATAGGCAGCCTGGCTTCATGAACAGGAGGATGGGGGAGAAGAGGGCATTTGGGAAGTATTTGGGACGTGGCACCAACAAGACGTGCTGTGGGAGGGATGTGGAGTGGGAGGAGCCACAAGGGAGGCTTGGGTTCTGCGGGGCAGCTAGGATGGAGAGCAATGAGAGGGGTACGGAAAGATGCGATGGGGAGGGATGGGGGGTGGAGAGATGGATGGAGAGGGGTGAGAGAGGGTGGCAAGAGGGAAGGAGAGAGATGGATGGAGAGGGGTAAGGGGGAATGGGGAGGAATGAGGTGGGGATGGAGACGGAAGCATCCGCAGGCGGTGGGTTAGGTCAGGCTGCAGCTCAGAGTGAGCCTGGAGACAACAAGGTAAGGCTCATCACTATCTCCTACAGACAAAGGCCTGGGTCCCGGGTAAGAGTGTAGTGAGGAGGGAGAGGTTCAAGGTGGGCGCCTCAGGGCGCGCTAGTATCTAGAGGTCAGGCAGGGGAGGGGGAAATGAGACGGTGAAGCCACAGCTAGCGAGGAAGGAGGAGAAGCAGGAGAGGATGTGCTTCCTTGGGGGGGTGACCAGGTGTCGATGTGGTCAAATCGAGGAGCAGTTGTGGTGTGACCGAGGCGCAGGTCGCTGTGGGCCAGGCTGGAATCGGTTCGGAGGAGAAGGACTGAGAGGACTCGGAGCCAGTGGGTCAAACAGCTCTCGGGATGGTAGCCGAGGTGGCTGTGACTAGGAGGGGAGAAATGGCACACCGCATGCTGGTGGGGCTGTTCAGGGAAACGCCTCGGGGTGCACGAGGGAGGGGAC